TGGTCCCCTCCGTTCCCTTCGGCCTCCCTAATGTTCACACTAATGACAATGACACCGGTCCCTTTGCACTCCACTTTTCTCCATGCATCTGGTGAAAGGTGCCTCATGGTTCATCTGAGTTTTACTTCTTGGTGTCTCGTGTTTTCAGGGTGACCAGAGTTCGTGCCCTTTCTCTTTGTGAAGATGACTCCTGCATGTTGAACATGCAAACATCCTGGGTTTGTATCACAAGCCACACCCTACCACTCATCTAAGCTCTAGGGACAGAGTACAAAGTCAGGTGCCCTTGCCAGGGAGAAAAGATTTTTTGTTCCAGGAGAAAGGACTGGAGGTCACCCAGCAAGCTGGCAGTGGCTCCTGGTCCAGGTCCATGTCACCCTGGTGCTGAGTTGTAGTGTGAGATCTAGGTGGCCGTCCCCGACACAACACACCTGTACTGCCTCACCAGGGAAAAGCACATCGGGGGGCCTGGCTGCCAATGTCAGGAGCTTCTGGGTTCTCTGCGCGTGGGGTCTGAGGGTACTGAGCTCTGTGTGGAGAGGTGGCATAAGCGGGCACCCAGGAGGGCAGGTGGGGTGAGTGTGCTGTGACAGGAGCCTGTAGCACCCCGTGACCAGCCAGGCGCTGGCACTGTGCTACAGAAGCGGTGACAGGTGCCGCTGTCCGTGTGCCCTCAGACTGGCTGGAAGGACCTGAGGAGGTCACAGTGCCCCCCTTACCCTCCTACCACATTGCCCGGCACATTCAATGGCCTGGGCAGGAAATGCACAGTGACCACCGTGCCATCTTGGCGGGTCACACTGGTGGCTTCTTGAACCTGCCCTCTTCTTTCTATGTAAACTCAGGCTGTGGAAGGCACCAGGGCAGCTCTCTCCCTGGCACCCTGACCATCCCACCATGGCCTTTCCACCTAAGCAGGCCACTTAACTCCTCATGAGTGTAGCATTCAGCAAGTATTTGAGTAGCAGCCCTTTGCCAGGACCTCCTGGTGGGCACCCAGCTTAGGGGAAAGTCAACAGGTAAAATATGGAGCAAGAGAAAGGCTTACAGCCCTGAGCATCTGACCTCTGGGCTTTGCACTGAGCCACATTCCAGCTTGCCTTGTTTTGTTTTGTTTTTTAAATTTTGAGACAGAATCTAACTGAGTCTCTAAATTGCCCAGGCAGGACTCGAACTCAAAATCTCCCTGCCTCAGCTTGCCAGAGTGCTGGGATTACAGGCCTGGGCCATTGCCCCTGGCTTCCAGCACCCTTCCGGTTGCCCTGGGACTGTCTCCTATCCCTCAGGTGGACCCTGTGAGGAAGCCGTCACCTGACACAGGTGGGTCAGGCACTCCTGTGAGGCTTTCTCACTGACGTCCGTGTTCATCATTCTGGTGAAAGCCAATATAAGTCTGATCACCAAATTACTCATCAGCCTCACCAGACACTGAAATTTATCCAGTCCAAAGGTGTCTCTCAGGTGATTTCCCGATACCGGCAGTGCACACATGGTTCCTTCACTTTGGGAGTCTTTTTGACACTTTTTTTTTTTTTTTTTTTTTTGTCTTTTTCGTTTTTATCGGTACCAGGGATCGAACTCACGACTGCCTGCTTGCAAGGCAGTCACTTTACGCCGCTGAGCTAAATCCCCAGCCCCCTGACACTTTTTTAAAAGATCCCTTTGGCTCCCATCCAGGCTCAAAAGAGCCTTTTAAATAATGCATTGTGGAAGTTTCCAAGAAACTTTCAGTAAAAGCCTTTGAAAGTTAGGGTTCCCTCGTTCCTCGGGGTGACCTTTACACACTTCTAATTCTCGGATGACGTTTGCCTGCAGAATGCAAGGGTGAGTCCAGTTCAACTAAACCCTGGGGAAGGGCACAAGGTCCATTCTGCCTGGGTGGGTGTGGCGTGACTGCCTTGGTGACACGCCACCTGTGACCTATCACCTACATGCAGAGAAGCTCTTTTTGGTTTGTATTTTTTTTGTTTGTTTATTGTTTGCTCGAGACAGGATCTGTTTTCTGTATTCACTGTGTAGCCCAGGCTGGCTTAAACTTCCTGCCTCAGCCTCTGTAGTGCTGGGGTTACAGGTGCACCCCGCCATGCTCGGCTCATGGAGTCTCACAGTGAACGTGGAGGAAATTAGTCAGGGAGCCATGCACTGGAGGACACTCACTTGTCCCTAAGAAGGTTCAGCTGCTGGTGGCATGAACCTCTCACTGGCCCTGCCTGTCCTTGAGTCTCCTTCCCTGATGGGAGTGTGTTCAGTCATGTGCCAGGCAGGGATGTGGTCCTGCAGGGCCACCCAGAAAGCACCTGCTCCTGGTGACTCCAGGGTTTATTTGTCAAAAGGATAACACTGGTGACATTGCTCCCTGTGGGCCAGGCACGTGGAGGTGTGATTAGGCTGGGCGGCAGACAGTGGGAGTCGGGCGGGGAGACACGTATGCACACACACACACACATAACGTGCACACACGCACACACGCAGTTCTGCGGCCCTTTGTCCACCTCCTCATCCTCAGCGGCTGAGCTGGATCGCACTCTGCTCCCATCGGGGAACCTTGGGGACCCCACTCTCCTGTCTCCTGGCTCTCAGGAGGGAGCGACAGAGCTGTGCGGTTTCCCAAAATATTTCCAATGGAATGAAAAAGACTTAACAGTTTCCACTTTCACTGAAACTAGGTTTTGAGTAATTTCTCACATGAAGTCTTCAACTTGGGGCAAAGGGAACACTGGGTCCACTTCCTGTTACAGAGAGATTGTAAAGGCCCACGTCCACAGCTTGAACCGAGGAGACATGCAGGGAATGCGCATAAAACAGAACTCTGGGTGTCAATTTCCTACATTAGGAAATATCTTTAAGCACATACCTGTAATCTCAGCACTCAGGAGGCTGAGGCAGAACAGTCACCAAGAGTTTGAGGCCAGCCCAGGCCACAAAGTGATCAAAGGGCCAGTTTGAACCTATCATGAAACCTTGTCTCAAAAAAGACCAAAAACAAACAAACAAATATCTTTAAGTAAAACTTTTTTTGGTATGTCGGTATAAAGTTGCCAACTGCCATTCCTTAGGGAGAACTGCCTTTATTTTATTTTATTTTTTTTATTTTGGTTTTTTGAGGTAGGGTCTTGCTATATAGATCAAACTGGCCTTGACCTCACTTTGTAGCCCAAATTGGCTTGGACTGTTGATCCTCCTGCTTCAGTCTCCCCAGTGCTAGGATTACAGAAATATGTTACTACGCCCACTTATAACTGCCCTTTATTCTGAAAATATGTCTTTCCTTATATTTGGTTTTTGTTGTTTTGTTTTTGTTTTTGTTCTTGTCTTTTTGAGAAAGGGTTTCACTATGCAGCTCAGGCTAGCCTTAAAGTCACATCAGTCCTCCTGCCTCAGCTTCCCAAATCCTGAGATTGTAGGCACATACCACCACACCCAGTTGCAATTGGATACTGAATTGCCTCTTGTTTATGAAATGTTGCTGATAATAATCAGCTATTTTGCTGATGATAATGTTACTGGATCTATAATGTCATTAGACAAGAAAGATAATTACCAAAATATTTGAAATCAACCAGAGATAAGAAAATTATAAATACTAGCCAAGGATTTAGCTCAATGGCTCAAACACTTTCCTGGCAAGTACAAGGTCCTGAGTTCAATCCCTGGTACAAAAAAAAGAAAACAAAAGAAATTATAAATACCAACTGAAGCAGTGGGTAGTTATGTGCATATCAGTCTGACTTTTTTAAAGGTTTGAAAATGAAGAGACCCTCTCTGGATTCCATGGCTAGAGAAGAAGAGCATGATGGGAAAGAGAATATTCTAGAGTCTGACTGCTGGCTCAGAGCCTCACTAGCTGTGGAATCGCTCCCTGCTTAGGAGCCCCCTCTGTAAGAAGGGAATAATGTTGCACCTACTCCTTGCAGTCGATAGGGAGATGAAAGGAGCAGGTGTGGAGGAAACATGGTCCTCATCCTGGCAGGTGATGTAAGCCATGTTTAGAAGATGGCGGAGCATCACTTCTGGCTACAGGGAAATGGACTACTGAGGGGGTACAATAGATGAGGAGTTTGGAAATACGGGGAAAGGCTTTCCGCGTAGGGAGTCATGGATTTGCCAACATGGCACCATGTGCACTTTGGGGAATGTGTCACAAGTGGCAGCAGAGCTTCCGGTCAGACTCTGACACAGAAACTGGAATCCCACTCCCGGAGCGAGGAGAGAGCAATGCTCTGTCGTCCCACCTGGCCTCAGCCCACATGATGTCAGAGGCAGCGCGCAGGGCCTTGGGACCCTCCCAGCACCTCCCTTTTCCTTCTGACTGCCTCCTCCGCAGTTCCACTTAACCTCGAAGCCCGTGGGCTCCTTTCCTGAGCACACGGTGGCCCTAGAAGTCCAGCCTGTGACCTCTGGAATCTGTTGACTGACCAAGGATAGAGTGAGGCGAGGAGCCCCACCAGACGCCCTCAGGCCAGCCGGTGAAGGGCTTTGTCTGAGCCTTGGAGAGAGACAGGCAGCAGCTCTTTTTCCCAGTGATGTCACCACTAACTGTCTCCATCTGCCAGCCAGTTTTGTTCTTTCCCAGATCTTTCTGCCTCTTATGCTTGCAGTTTTTTTGTTTTAAATGAGGAAAGAAAAGTACAAAGGACAATGACACCCACATCAGTGTCCCTCAGGCTTCAAAAGGACTCAGAGTCCTGGGTTTCCACCCACCTAGCCCTACCCCTGAGCTCCCCATTCCTGGCTTCCCCACCACCACCAGAGCAGCTTGGATCTCTCTCTCTGTCTCTTCGTTCAGTACTGAGAATCAACCCCTAAGGCCTTTGAGCTACATGCTCCGACCTTTTATTATTATTATTTTTTTAATTTTGAGACAGGGTCTTGCTAAGTTGCCTGGGCTGGCTGAGAACTTGGGATCCTCCAGCCTCGGCCTCTCGAGGTGCTGGGGGTCGGGGCTCCATTCTCTTCCCTCATCTGTTCTCAACAGCCCCCCTTCTACCTTCTCCCTCCAGGAGCCCGTGGAGAATGGGGCCGCAGCCTCTGCAGAAACTCCGAAGATGGACCCTGAGATGGAACCGAGGCTCAAAGTGGTGGACTGGGACAAGGTAGCTGGCCCAACGTGAAGCAGGGTGGTGATGCGGGCACTGCAGATAGGAGAGGATGTGGGGCCGAGGATGTGCACCATTCATGACCTGCACCCAGGGAAGCCGAGGAAAGGGTCCCTGCTGATGCGAGAGCAAGAGTGTCTGCATGGAGTCAGCCCCCCAGCACCCCAGGGAATAAGGGGCCTCTCAAAGCTTGGGAGGGGATGATGAGCAGGTCAGCAGGGCTGGCCCGGCCCTGCCATCACCCCAGACAGTCACTGGCAGGTCCAGGGCTGGGCAGAACTGGGCAGCAGCCACGCTCTGCATCTGGGAGAAGCCACCAGCTATGCAGAACCCCAAAGGGCTGCTCTGGGTGAGCAGATTCGGGGCAGACCCTGGGTGTTGTGAAGGAGCCCCGAGCAGCTGGGGGTCCCAGGTAGGATCCCTCCGGCTTGGGTCATGGCACCATCCTACAAATATGCATATCTAGAATGCCAGGCCTTTATGTCCTCTACCTACCATGGCACCAGAGGCACAGAAAAGAGACAGCCCCTCGCCCCCTCGCTGTAGCCCCCCAAACAGTTCTGACCACACAAGGTGACTACTGAAAACTTCTGGTAACACAGACAACCAGGGGAAATGGGTGGGGGCCGGGGGCTTCACACAGCTGACTGCTTGCTGGCCTCTCTGCCCAGGGGTCTCGAGGGCCTGACCCCAGGACTTAGTGACGGCCACTGTCACATGGGATTGCCACTGCTTCTAGGAGGACCATACCCACCATGGGATTCCCAGCTTGAGAAACTACAAGGTTATTCTGTGCCCTGTCCTCTGCAGAAAAGCAGTGACTAAGAGGAAATCAAAAGCCAATGAAAGGAGGCATGCTCAGTCCAGAGACTGAAACAGGGTCTTAGCATAAAAAACAGGCTCCTCCGGCAGTTCGGACGGAGGGCGCAGGTTTACTTTGCATGTAGCAGGATAAAAGAGAAGCCACCTTGAGTGAAAGACCCTGGGAACCGGCAGGGCCAGCGCCTTACACCAAACAGGGAAGGCTCAGAGGGAGTAGAGGAGGGTCTGGGAAAGAGCACAGGCCAGGAGTCCACTGCAGCTGTGGGTAGAAAGCACCAGCAGGAGCTACAGAGAAGGGTCTCTGAGGACAGCACCTGTGGCCATAGGTTGGGGCTTGAAGACTAGAAAGAAGCCGGGGATTAGGTACACACCTATAATCCCAGCACTCAGGAGGCTGCAGCAGGAAGATTGTCATGAGATTGAGGCTGGCCTGGGCTACATTGTGAGTTCAAGCCCAGCCTGGACTACACAGCAAGATCTTGTCTCAAAAACAAAAAGGAAAGAAAATACTGGAAAGACAAAGCTACCCAGCACTGAGCCATTGTTGCAGCCACAGGGGCAGACTGGCAGGAAAAACTGTCCTGGCAGGGAGGGGCTGTGTCTAAGCCTGGCTGGGGACAGCGGTGTCCCCACCCCCATTGCCATCCTGCTCTGGGGAAGATTCCTCCCCAAGCCTGACTGACCACCCTCTGCCTGTCACTGCATGACACAGGGGGAAGCAGGTGCCAGGCTGTCTCACCTTCACCCGTGCCCAGAGGGGACAGGCGCCCCTGCCCATGGCCTGGCTCCTGGCCGGCACCCCAGGAAGCAGACCAGGACTCACCTTCCCACACAATGTACTTTCCATCACACACGCTTTGTCCCTGTGAGGGGGCGGGTCTCCCCAACCAAGGCCCCGAGGAAAGGCAGCAGAGAGCTGAGCCTTGGCCCTCCCCTCCCTTCCATTTCCTCTCCTTTTTCCAAAAAAAAGAGTCCTCTGTCCTTCTCCTGTCTCCTTTGGCCACATGGGCAATCTGAGGCCCCTCAGAGGGAAGAGACAGGCCAGGAGAGCTGCAGGGGAGGCCCCCAGAGCTAGGAGCAGGGCGGGGCATGCTGGGAAGAGAGGAAAGTGTGGGGTGCATGCCTGGTGGGGTCAGAGCATCAAAAAGGGCCACAGAGAGGAGAAGCAGCACACCTGGCGCCCGCCCTGCTCAGAGCCCAGATGCCATCCGAGACCAGGCGCTGTGGAATTTTACTAGAGCCATTTCTAAATCACATCCTCCTTCACCCAGCGGGGCAGGACACTCTGGGACCAGAATCCAGCTCCCACATATCTTGCTGGGTTCTTGTGGAACCTAGTCTGTGCCAGGCCACATTCCTCTTAGCCTCTGGGCACACAGGCCCCATGCGTCTGTCTCTGTTTTTCTGTCTCTGCCTCTGTTTCTGTCTCTGTCTGTCTGTCTTCAGCACTAGGGATTGAACCCACCGAACTACATTTTGAGACAGGATCCGACTAAATTGGGCAGGCTGTCCTTGGAGTCTCAATCCTCCTGCCTCAGCCTCCTGAGTAGCTAAGATCACGGTGGGGCCCACTGGCCCAACTGCCTTTCTGCCCCTTTCACTGCCTTCTTTTCAACACCCTCCCTTGGGAGTCCTCACCACCCTTCCCATTTGGGCACCCACCTCCCTGGAACCATGACAGTAAAGTGGGGAGTGAAGGGTTCTCCCAGGATCCCAGCCCACTTTGCTCTGAGCAGCATAATTAGCACTGAATTAACGCTTCTTTACTGAGTCCTTCCCTGAACAAGAGCCAAGCATTTGAAATGCATTCAAAGAAATGAGGATTATCCAGATTTAATGAATAAGGAAGAGTTTAAGTCTTTTGCCAAAGTCACTTGGAGGCAGGTTAGCAGCCCAACCCGTGGCAGCTGCCCAGCCCTCTCCTTCCCTGTTCCTCTTCCCTGGGGACAAGGAGAACCGCCCAGCCAGGGGCAGCTCCAGGACTCACAGTCTCCGCCTCTGTGCAACACTGCGCTCAGAGCCCTTGGCACCAGGGCCAGTTCCAGTTGTCCCCGGAGCCTGGCCAACCGGTCGATATTGGCCCTGTGAGTTGAACCCTTTGGGGGCCTTAGATTACTCACAGGGCGCTCAGGACAGTGGCACCTGGATCAGAAGAGGCCTTTATGACAAATCTGCCTCCAGGGAAGGATGGAATTTGAGGCTGTGGTTGCTGGCTTGGTGCACCCCTGGACTCCCTGCCACCTGCCCAGCCACCAACTCACCAGCACAGGAGACAGATGGCCCAGAACTGCCTTTACCGACTTGAGGTGACCCCAGCTGGACTGCGCAGGCCAGGCTTGCAGCACCCCCTGAAGACCACCAGTGCCCCTCCTGGCTGGCCCTACTGTACCAGACCTCATACCCCGGCCTCTGCACTGAGGGGTCCGTGGGCAGGGCTGGTTCAGCTGGCCTGAGATCTCCTGGCTGTGGCTCTGAACTATGCCCAAGAGTCCGACCCTCATTTGTAAAATGAGGTTGAAGTTGTCTCCACACTAAGGCTTGGGACAGGAGATCAGAGCCCAGGAAACAGGAACTATAATTCTTGGGGCACCTGCTTTCTCCCCACCTGGGGGGCTGCTTCCTATCCTCTGCACCACTCAGAAGCTGCTGGGTGCCGTGCGCTCTGGGCTGTGGGTAGATGCTGGTTTCCACAGTTGCCTAGGCTACAGGCAGTGGCAGTGGGAGGAGCCACTCGCACCAGGCAGTGCCCCTGTCCCTACGCATGGTCCCTTGGGCAGAAGCACTGCTCCTGAGCTGGGGCTGCACCAGAGATGTGTGCTGTGCTACTTGATCCCAGTGCAGGGAGGACCTGGGGAGGGGAAGGGAACACGCAGGGTGGCCCCCTCCCACCCTGGCTGCAGGCCCTCCACCCACCCGGGGAAGCAGGCTGCCCTTTCCCCCTGCCAGTGCCTGCCAGCTGCATTCCTGGCATAGCGGGGGAGAGGGGATAGAGTTGGGGGAGGAGCCTGTGCTTCTCAAACCCACTTTCTGGCTGCCATAGTGGAAATGACTGGTGAGTGAGAAGCACCCAATCTGTAAGCACCCAGCTGACATGCTCTCCTTCAGTGACCAGGACTGGAAGAGGCTGGGAAAGGACATTTTGCCCATGCATGTGGCAGCTGTGCCAAGGCCAGGTGCCCAGGTCAAACAGCCAGCCAAGAGCCAACTCTTGGGAGTTTGTGCCAATGGTGCTACATGCTGGGCAGAAGGTACAGGCCGCCACTCCTAGATAACTATCTTCATCACAGGGGACTTAACTTCTTGGGCCTCAGTATACGCACCTCTGAAATGGGGAAGAAATGAGAGGGCCTGGATTTCTGTACCTATATGCATGGCTTGCTCTATTTCCTCTGGAACAGTGGAACTGAGCCCCCCGAGAGCACACAGCCCTGCTGGGGTTCTCCAAGGGGTTTCCTCAGCCCTCAGAGAACCGTGACCCTCCCTGGGCTGGACACAGCCACCAGCAGGGCTGCTCTGTGTACAAGTGGCCAGAGCCTGCCGGTCTAACCAGGGAGTCACTGAAATCACATCCAACAGCCTGTGGAGGGCTCCGTCCCTCTACTCCTGTGGACTGCACTGTACAACTCAGCTCTAGCCTTCCCCTCTCACTCTAGGTCCATCATGGTAGGGTGTGAGATTCAGGCTGGTGGCCATGCTTGACATCTCTTCCTAGGGCTCAACTGAATTAAACTAATGAAGTCTGTGCTGATGGCTACTTGCTGTACAAAATGAGGGCAAAAGGAATCAACAGCTGAGGATCTGTGGAGACCACTGCTAGGTGGAGAGAGGGCCCTACCTGGCCACTCCTCTGTGCTGTTACTGGAAATGTTGGCTGCCTAAGGTAGCTAAGACCAAATGAAATGCATGAATGAAATGCAGGCAGGCAGGCACAGGGTGTCATGTGTGACGTGCAAAAGTACAATATATAAAGTGTAAAAAAAATTTGAGACAGTGATAAGAATGCATATTATGGCCAGGGATTTAGCTCAACAGTGTAAGCATCTGCCTGGCAAGGTAAGGTCATGAGTTCGATCCCCAGTACCGAAAAAAAAAAAGAACAACTATGGAGGGAGTGATTTTTTAAAAAGACACAGCCAAAAACCAATAGAGGATATAATATAGAATTTTTTTAATGT